TCTTCTTTGATGATCACATGAAACTTTGCAGGAAAACTGACCCAATCTCGGTATATAACTTATTTAAAGATTCTTTGATTCTAGTTAATCGATTTCTGATTATAGTTAATGATTCTTGATTTAAATTATTGACTACATGTTAATTCTTGACACAGATAATCCCCTGCTCCTCTGGTCCCTCCTCTTCTTCCTGTACGTAAAAGGTAACTTGTTCTAAACCTTAGGGAAGAAATGACAATACGTTCTCAATTTGCCTATGTATGTATGTTGTTGTGGTTGATATGAATTTCAATTCGTCGTGTTTTTCTTTTTTGCTTCATAAACCTATTTGGAACAAGAAAATCATAATTTGGCTACAGTGGGAATTTTTCTTTTTTACGGATTTGAACCGTTTAATTCATGGATTTTTTGATTTGGTTTTTTTGCACCCAATTTGTTTGTTTCTTTGAATGCTTTTGAATCTGGCCAAGAAAATGTAGGTTCGCTACTTTGCCTAAATGTTCACAGGAATTGCTTGAAATTTTTGCACCAAATACAGTTTAGTCCAATTTGTTTTGTACTCCAACACTATCTTAAATGCCTGCAGTATTTCTGGCTAGGGTTGTAGTTCATTGGTTCATGAATTGAAATTTTCAGATTCGGAAGGTAGATGTTTTAGTGATCGGAATCTCTCTGAGGATAAGTGCAAATAATAATCAGCAGCTGTAAAAACTCGTAGCCTAGAATATGTTGTTTCTTGTTGTTAATTTGTTGTTGTTGTTGCTTTTGCTGCTTAAGATGGGGCATTGGATCTCTGCTTAAGATGAGCTAGTGGCTAGGAATCTAGATATACAGATCCAAATGCTCATCTTAAGCAGCAAAGAACAACAACAAATTAACAACATAAAACAACATATTCTAGGCTACGAGTTTCTACAGCTACTTATATTATTTGCACTTCTTCTCAAAGAGATTCCGATCACCAAAACATCTACCTTTTGATCTGCAAATTTCAATTCATAAACCATTGAATTACAAAACTAGCCAGAAATACTGTAAGCATTTTAAGATATTTGTATTCACGTGCTGGAGTACAAAACAAATTGGAGTAAACTGTATTTGGTGCAAAATTTCCAAGCAATTCCTATGAAACATTTAGGCAAAGTAGCGAACCTACATTTTCTTGGCTAGATTCAAAAGCATTCAAAGAAACAAACAAATTGGGTGCAAAAACCAAATCAAAATCCATGAATTAAACGGTTCAAATCCGTAAAAAAGAAAAATTCCCACTGTAGCCAAATTATGATTTCTTGTTCCAAACAGGTTTATGAAGCAAAAAAGAAAAACACGAATTGAAATTCATATCAACCACATACATACATACATAGGCAATTGAAGAACGTATTGTCATTATCTTCCACTAAGTTTAGAACAAGTACCTTTTACGTAGCACCTATGCAGGAAGAAGAGCAGGGGACACAGAAGAGCAGGGGATAAATCTGTGTCAATAATTAAAATCAAGAATCAATTAACTATAATCAGAATCAATTAACTAAAATCAAGAATCAATTAACTAAATTATATACCCGAGATTAACGTGTGTGAAACCTACATCTACTACCATACCTGACACTCCGACGTGGGCATCATCCAGAACCAGCGCTGTGGATGAATAGTTGGAAACTCTTTCCAATAGAATAAGGTTAAGAGAAAATTGGAGTACAAAACAAATTGGAGTAAACTGTATTTGGTGCAAAAATTTCAAGCAATTCCTGTGAACATTTAGGCAAAGTAGCGAACCCACATTTTATTGGCTAGATTCAAAAGCATTCAAAGAAACAAACAAATTGGGTGCAAAATCCATGAATTAAACGGTTCAAATTCGTACAAAAGAAAAATTCCCACTGGAGCAAAATTCTGATTTCTTGCTCCAAACAGGTTTATGAAACAAAAAAAAGAGAAACACAAACTGAAATTCATATCAAACATACATACATGGAATTGAAGAACGCATTGTCATTATCTTCCAACTAAGTTTAGAAGAAGTACTTTTTACGCAGCACCTATGCAGGAAGAAGAGCAGGGGACATTGAGGGTCTCGACCGCGGCTAAGAGCAACTCCACCCTTAGAGCCCTCCCCCTGGCAATCCACCTTATTGAACAGTAACTGCCTTTAATGAATAGTAACTGCCATTAATGAACAGTAATTACTTTTTGCATCTCCACCCTTAGAGCCTTCCCCCTTGTAATAGGTAATAAAATTTTAGTTTTTTTTTGTTTGTTAAATAATACAAAATAAAAAAAAATGGAAATGGGGCTGCAGGCCCTCGGGCTGACACAAAAAAAATAAAAAAATGCCTGGCCCTCGGGCTGCAGGCCTGTCAATTCCCCACCCCCCTTGTGCTTGGGCTCCCACCCTCACTCGGGCTCTCCAAGGCTGGAGGGTTATCCACCGGGCCTCAGGCCCTTTTCTCTCCCCTGTCCCCCAAGCACTGTCCAAGGCTGGACTTGCTCTAATAGTAATAACTGAGGATGCGGTATCATGGACAGCTGTGATATTGCCTACTCAATCCACGGATATGGTCACCATGCGCTGCAAGTCTTTGCGCATGGATATTGGATTGTAATCCACGGATATGATCATATTGCTTTTGTTCGAGTCTTTATCTGCTTCTATGCGGGTAAAAGGCTTTTCAATTCCAAATGCACAACACTATTACCTTCCTTACTAGCTTGTCATTTGAGAATTGAAAATTGTTACCAAACCCGCTAGTTAGACCAACTCTAATTATTGGACTGAAAAAAACGGCTATGGATAAACTTATTTTTGTGCTAAATTTATCTCATAAAATGAGTGAAGGATATTTGCCGAAACTTCAATTGTTACTTGTAGAAAAACCAACGACTATGTTTTTTTTTTTTTTTAACAAACAATATTATTTACACTCAGGGTTGATCCTAAGATTTTAGAGGTCTTGTACAAGATCCAAACGGGAGCCCTTACATGGCCTAAAATTTTGGTTGCTATATTTTCTTTTATACTTTTTATTTTTTATTTGTACAAATTGATATAACGCACAAGAAAATAAATAAAAATGAAACATGGTGTGATGCGTTTGTGTATCCATCTGCATCCCTTATGTTTTTGGGTTCGAAACTCCTTACTTTTTAATAGAAAAAGCATGGTATGATGGATATGTACTTATCATATCACCGTTGAAATATTACAATTGGGATCATTCTTGCTCTTTATTATCATCAAGAGTTCATCTCAAGAAAAAATTATTTGTTAAAAAAATCATTGACATATGGAATGCAAAATGGTTTTCAAATAAAATGAAAATTAGATGACCATCAAATAGTGACTAGAAAATAAATGGTTAAATAATATCATATAAGAAAAGAAAATGAGGCTTTTAATGATTATATCTTCAAACTTCTAAAATTTTAATTTGATATTCCTAATTATAGATTTATTAGCGAAAGTTATCTTTTATAATGAAAGAAAATAACTACATATATTTAAAACAAGAAAACAATAGTGTAGCTAAAAAACCCCATGGTAGGTAATCGTGCGGCACACTCTGTGACATCTTTTGCATTCAAAAATATAGGGAAGTATATTTGGGCCTTTATTAGTCCTCAATTCTTGTTTAATACTCTTGCTGATGTTGTAAATGTATCCATTTGTATCTAATAATATCTATCTACCTTTGGAGAAAAAAAAATCTCAAAACATGCCCAATATGAAATAAACATAGTTGAAAAAAAAATTCATAATTAAAAATAAATGTATCCGTTTGTATTTAATAATTGTAATATTCCACATCGTCCAGGGGAGTGAATCATGTAAGCCTTATATGTATATTCTCATCTCTACCTAATACGAGGCCTTTTGGGAGCTCACTGGCTTCGGGTTCCATCGAAATTCCGAAGTTAAGCGAGTTCGCGCAAGATCAATCCCATGATGGGTGATCCACTGGGAAGTTCTCGTGTGAGTTCCCAGAAACAAAACTGTGAGGGCGTGGTCGGGGCCGAAAGCGGACAATATCGTGCTACGGTGGAGTCGAGCCCAGGATGTGATAATAATACTTATCTAGCTTTGGATAAGAAAAAAAACCCCAAAAATGCCCAATATGAAATAAGCACAGCTGAAAAAAATTCATAATTAAAAATATACGCAAGGCACGGACTTGGAGTCGAGCCCAGGATATGACAATAATACTTATCTAGCTTTGGAGAAAAAAAAAACCCTAGAAAATGCCCAATATGAAATAAGTACAGCTGAAAAAAAATTTCATAATTAAAAATATACGCAAGGCACGGACTTGAACCCGTGCACAGGTAGATAGCAAAAACAACACTTGCCAAATTGGCTATGACAACTTTGTTTAATATGCTCACGTTTATAATATATATCTAGTATATTACAAAGGTTATTAAATTTAGGGGGCCCCCAAAAAACAGGAGCATGTGCGGTCGCACTCCTCGCACCCCTTCAAGGCAAGCCCTGTTTACACTAAAATGGTGTGAGAGTGGGTTAAACCTTATAATGCGTTAGCAATAATGTGATTCAAAATCGTCTTTGACAAGAATTAAACTTAAGGCCATTCACTTGCCAATAAAGAGAAATATTATTAGATCGTAGTAAATAGAGTCTAGCTCTACTTGACAATTCCTTAGGTTTCCAAAAAGAGTAGGATTTTCTCCCCTATTTTTTTCCCTCCCCTCCTAATTGAACGGTTACGGTTAAGCCACATCAACATCTTAGATTAATTTTTTATAGCAAGAAAAAAACAAAATATGAGAATATGAGAGGAGGTGATGAAAAGAGGAGGGAAAAGAATCCTAATCCTTCAAAAAATTGGTGAATCAGAAAGAAAAGGTCTCAATGTAGTAAGAATCCGCGTAGACGGCCCTGATTTAGCATCACAATAGTAAAAATGCATGACCACCACCCAATCCCACCCAGACACGGAAACCATACACATGAATAAAAAACGCACCCCACCCAAATCTAGAGAGAGAAAGTCTTTGTTTTAGAGAGAGAAAGCAAAGAAACAAAGAATCATACAGCAATTCTTAAAATTCTTTTATTTTATTTTATTTAATTTTAACGACGGATCGGACGCCTAACGACTCGCCAACGCAGAATCGGAGATCCATCAGCAAGATGGAGGGAGTTGGGGCCCGACTCGGGCGGACTTCGACCCGGCACGGACCGGCCACGGTGTTCACTGGGCCGGTAAGGAAGTGGAAGAAGAAGTGGGTCCACGTAGCTCCTCCCTCCAACCACAACACCTCCACCCATCACTCTCACCAGATTAACGGTTCCTCTAACGGTATTAACGGCTCCCATCTCTTGCTTTACAAGTGGACCCCAATTGCCCAAAGCCAAAACGCTACCATTAGTAATGGTGCAGTCGCCAATGGAGGGGACAGGGACAAGGTTTCTGCCAAGGACGACGGCCTTTTGGCTGCGAGCGATGAGCCGCCCCGCCGAAAATTCAAATACATTCCGGTAAATTTACCCCAATTTTGCTTGTTTGATTGATTTTTTGTGATTGGAATCTGATTGATGTTCTGGGTTGTTTGATTTTTGTACTTTTTTTAATGAAAGCTTTGTGGGGTTTATTGTATTGAGTTGATAGTGTGTTTTGGGTTAATAGTAATTTAGGGTTTAGTTTCAGAGATCTTGGGGAAGGAGGTGCATAATGCGTGCAGCAAGTCCTCGAGTCGAAAAACGAATATTTGAAATTGAGTTATGAGTTATCTTTGTTTGTCATGTTGATGTTTAGATAGAATTGTTGTTGGATTTTGGTTTGGTTTTTATGATTTGTAAGCAGTCGCGATCCTGATGTGAATCCTACTTCATGCGGCTCATGAGAACCCATTTAGAATCGAGAAAAGATTAGCACATTGGAATGTTTTGTATTTAGGAGTAAACTGATTGTTGACTGGTTAATCATACTTAATGCAGCTCCCGTTAAACCGAACTTTGTTGTTGTAGTGAAGATTCAGTACTTTGAGAAAACATGGGATGTTCGAGGTTGTAGTGATTACAAAATTCATCAAGAGTTCTCACAAAGTTGATATAGAATCTTGGTAATCAAGAGTTGGTTTTTGGTGGTTATGTTGACATTTTCCTCTAGACAGTGATGTTACTTTGTTACCGGTTTTTGTTTTGTGGTTCCTTTTGGTATTTCTCTGAACCTTATTCTATTGGAAAGAGTTTCCAGCTATTCATCGATAGTGCCAACTGGCAAGTATGTAGTGACGAAACTTGGTAAATGCAGCTATGAAGTTTTGAATATTTACAAGTATGTTGCGATGGAACAATGCGATAGACAAGTTTTGAATATTTACAAGTACCTATTTATACATTGTGTTATGTTAAGATTTGGGGTTTATATGTGCAAATAAGCTAGATTCAGTGAAAAAGATTGAACTCTGAAGACCTTTCTGGTTTGTCCGGCCATCTCTTGTTTTCCTAAAACCTGCATTAGTGCATGCTTGACTGAATCAAGCATCATCCGAGTGATATTGGGTGTGTCATAAGTATAACATCATGTCGCCAATTTCCAACTTGGAGAAACATTACCAATTTCATAAAGTGAGCTGGCTCTAGAAATCTTATTCTTATGGTGGATGGCTGGAGGGAATACAGATGCATGGTTTGCTTACACTGGATAGTTAGGAAAATAGTTACACCGGGAACTGCCTTTTAGTTATTTAAACGCCTAACTTCTACCCCAGTGAAGTAGTCAAATTTGAGTTTGAGATATTGGGAATAGTTATTTTTACTGGTGCGTATAGAGTGTATAACATTTGAAAACAGTGTAGAGGTTCTCTATGATTGTTCACTTTCTTATTGGATTATGGGTAGGATGGCTCTAAGATAATAATGATATTGAGTTCATTTTGATTTAAGTTGGGTAGGATCGTTAGACAGGTTTCCATCATAACATTGCCAGACAGGTTTCCATGATTGGAATGGGGTTAATTGTGTAGGATTTTATTTGATTTTGGTGGGGGGGGTTTCTGTTGAATGATAATTTTATCCTTTTGACAAAGCAGATTGCTTTACTAGAAGAACAGCAAAATGAGGCTGCAGAGCAGGTTGAAGATGACGGAAACTCTATCGATGATGAGCCAGTTGAAACACAGGCAACCCCAAAGAATGATGGTTTAGATGAAAAACCTGACATTAATGACGTTCCTATGGAAGAAAATCAGGTGAAACGTTTATGCCTTTTTTATGCTTGCGTTCTTTTCCACCATTTCTTTTTTTGGGTTCGTGTAGCATTACTTTCTATGGTGGAGACACATGCTTATCATATGCGTTAGTGTGTGTGGGAACCATAAATTGGCTGTACTTTTCTGTTGGAGGTATTTAATTTACGCCTTTCTCTGTTAAGAAATTGTGGAAATCATATTGGTACTTGAATTCTAATGGTAAATCAAAAGAGGTTTGGTTTCATTTTTTTATTAACAGTTGCTTGTTTTTTTTTGTTTCATTCGCAGGAGAGTAATCAGGTAGTATGCCAAGATCTGAATTTAAGTTTGGGCTTGAATGGGCATGAAAACGATAACGATTCTGGTCTGAAAGCTTAACAAACCAGAAATGGTTAGTTGCAGCGACTTGGTTCAAGCATTAAGCGAGCCCATATTGGACGTCTTCGAAAACTGGCACTCATAACCTTACAAGGAGCAGCTAATTGTTGGTGACGAATTCGGAATTCAGTTTTCCCTTTTGGCTTTATTTACCTACGGCCATATAGGGCAAGTGAGTTTCAGTGGCATTCGCGTGTACTGTTAGTCTTCATTGTTTAGCTGATTGCAAATTATACCCATTCGGTATAAGATGCAAAACTTACATACTTCAGCATTAAAATCATTGAATTTTTTCAGCCGGCCATTTTTGTCTACTTCTGAGATGGGACATGTACTTCGAAATTTTACTGAGGTTGTAAACTTTTGAACTCTTAAACATTTATGAAGTTTTAGTTCTTCATTACAATTTGATTAGGCCCGATTATCGTTGCGAATCCATCGAGATGTAGCACGGGTCGGAAATGTTGTAGTTTCATCATGCTTGATCATTCCAATTATACAGATATGTCAGTAGTTAACTTTCCAGAAATTATGTGAGATTGGTCACTTTCATCCACTACCGTCTTCCTTCTGACCGGAAAATACTGCACTACTCTCTTCGTATATGGGAGCAGGCTGCAGCCCGCCGACTGTGCGCGAGTGAACAACAGAACCAGGGAAATTGGGGGAGGAGGGATTACGAAATATGAACTGCCCAGATTTAGATACATGCACTGCAAATCAAAATAATATAGCAGCGACTTGGAGATCAAATTTATTAGCGAATTTGGGATTTTTAACTGTTCAACTGCCCGCTAATTTTTTTCAGTTGCAAACTGAATCAAACAGAGAAGTACAAACTACAAACTATCCGTCACCACATCAAACTCGACTATCCAGATCCCTCCAAGAAGGAAGCAACATGAAATCAAATTGAATAGAAACGGAAGGGAAGGAAGCGACATGAACTTTGGCACCCATGACAAGATGTGGTTGGTACAATTTTCGCCATCATTCTTCAGCAACTGCTGCTTCTTTCTCGGGGAAATAGTCATGCCTGGAAAAAGTAGGAAGATTATCTCATACAGATGTTCGTGTCATGATGAACACGCCATAAAAATGTTTTGATCGGTTCCAGTTAACCATTGATAACAAGCACTGTTTAGTGAACTATTTAGTAAGAGCTATCCCTTTTATCATCACCAAAATTTCATCAAAACAATTAACATTACATTGAACTTACCGTATTTTACGACTGAGTTGGTAGAGGCCTGTCCCTGCCATTGCTACGTTCACACTAAAAAGATTCCAGTTCTTCTGCAATTATGAATCGCAGAACACAAAGCTCAAAATCCAGCAAAAACTCCATCCAGGAAAGCTCCGATATACAGAATCAAGAAGAAAACCAAAGGGCAAATCCTTAATGCATGCACTTACACTCATCTGTTACCCCAAGTCCCCTTTTATGTTCTATTTCCACATCAAAGTACATCCATGACTCTTTTGTTCTTATGACGAATATTATGTATCTATGGTTTTGGAACTCACAAGTTCACTGAAAGCCGGTCTATCATCTAAGGAAACCTGAAATCTAATTCTCGAACCTATCTCTCCTCGGAAAGTAATGCCAAATCCACATAAGATACATTCCTAGTTCACATGATCTACAAAATTTGGTAATAACAAAAGGAGACGATAAAAAGTAAAAGCACAAGCTGTATATGAATTCATCTCATCAGATAAACCACGCAACTATCATCGATCTTCTGATCTTCTAGAAGTAGGAAGGAACATTATATCGATTAGTTCAACTTACCGGAGTAATGACAGTGCTATATCGTGACCAGACAACTCCGGTGCATGCAACCGCTGGGCACAAAACAAAAGCGGGAAACACATTAATTTGAGGCGAGACCAGACAAATCCACTACTCTCGTATAGAACATGAAACAACAACATATGTACAGAACAAACCTATTTGCTGAGGATATGAAAGGTTTTCTGGTGGTTTAGCGAAGTCAGCAATATTAGCTATGCTGATTCCCCATTTAAATGTGGGAGCCCAAAAGTGAACTGCAATCAAACAAATTTTCCACTACACTTGATCAAGAAAAATAAGCACAAACAATCCAAAGAATAAAACTTGAACACATTGGTCTAACGGAAGACTTAGGCGCAAAACCGAACACGCTCACGTCATACGATAGATGCAGCCGATCCCATTTAATGAGATAAGGTTTGGTTGTTGTTGTTTAAACATATTGAACTAAATTCTAAAGAACCAACTACTTTTCCAACTTCTAATTTCTAGGAAAAAGCTCAATTGGGTGTCTTTATCAAAACCTAATTAATATACGATCAAAGAAGAAAAGGGTACGAGAAACAGCTTAGTCAATCCAACGCAGAAGATCTAAGTCTTGAAAAGGGTTGCAAATTAAAAAAAAATAGAAAATATAAAGATGCGAAAATTCGAATAAAAACATATCGAGAATAAGATAATTCGGATGTGAAATCGGAGGGAGTGGGACTCACTGGTTTTAGGGCCGGCCGGGTGATTCCACAGCGCTTGGAGCTTCGTAGCCGCCATCGATTGTTCCCCTCTCTAAGCTCTGTAGCTCGCGAAAGTCAGAGAGACCAATATATTTGTTAGTGTTTTGAGATGGCCAGCCACGTGTGACTTAAGGGTGCGTTTGGTACGCAGACGGAACGGAACGGAACGGGACGGGACGGAACGAAGGTGTAATTTTTTGAAAAAGACATGGGGTATATTTGTCTTAAAATGGTAAAACATTGCGTTCCACAAACGTGGAACAAACCCGTTCCAGGGGGGGAGGTGGAACGCAAAAACACTCAAAATCTGTCCCGTGGAACAGCCCGTTCCACCCGTTTTTGGTGCACCAAACGCGGGACGGAACTCCTCGTCCCGTTCCGTCCGTCCCGTCCCACGTACCAAACGCACCCTAAAGGCGGGCTGGTCGAAATCGGATCCCCTCCTAAGTATGGGACCGGAGTCTATGTACCAGCCCATCTAGATCTTTCAAATTTGATTTAACGATTACAAATGAAGAGCTTTTTTAAAAATTATAATAATACTAGTCGTTAGATCAAATTTTAAGGATCCAAATGAACTGCTCAGTAGGCTCTGATCCCATGCTCAGGAGGGGATCCGGTCCCGGGCTGGTCTAACAAAATATTCTCTATAGCAGTTGTAAAGGCGCTAGGTAAAACCGTGATTTTTTTTTTAATTTTAACATATAATATTGTATTTGTATATACTAACGGACGATTTTAAGCTTGCGTTAACATGTAATTTTAATTTTTCACTGCCGTTAATTGTACAAAAATTCAACAATTATCTCCATAAAACTATAAGATATATATCCACGATTTTTATTCTATTTTGCAAAGAAAACTATCATGATGATTTTTGCTTAACATTACGTTAACTAGGGGTCTGGATTTGTTGATAGAAAGCTCTTCAATTGTTCTGATCAAATACTTTTTATTGTTCGACAAGACAAGATTTTAAATTGCTCTAATTTCGAGGAGGGGAATTTGAGCTTGGTTAGAACCGTAGAAGGGGGCGGGGCACACTGCCCTGATTTATTGGCCTAACGTGCATTTGCGATGAAATGCTTATTGGCCGAAACGAACTTGAAGGGTCCTTGGTATTTGACACTGCAAATATTTGGTTACAAATTCTGGACTTATGGTTAAATTTTGACAAGTCGTCATTTAGAAAGGTTACAATTTGTATGACCACTTACGAGCGAAACCAGTTGCCATCAAAGGCATTGGAATGCAGGCTTAAGTTAAGTACCATTGCTCTTAGAATTGGAGTCTCAAAAAAATTAGGGAATGGTTAATGTTGAAACTGCAGAAATCTCTTTTTTCGTTCATTGAAAGCATGCCTCAATTTTAATGTTGCAGAGATATCCTTGTGCTGATTACGACTTTATGAAGAGCATAATTAGTTCTAAAGCAAGTCAGTACGATCTAATGGCATTCAGTATGCTGATTTGCTTGTTCTTGTATAGATGGTGCTGTGATGCCTTCTTGGTTTGACATCCACGAGGAGAAGCTGGGTCTGCTTAAACCCGTTAAGAATGTGCATAAGATGATAGACAATGAGATAGAAGCTGTCACAAATCCTAGTAATGTCCTTGTGTGTGGATTCAGTCAAGGTGGTCGATCTCTTTCTTTATGCACTCACATTTACACAAGTTACACTGTTAGAAACAGTTGCGCGTTGAATTCCTTACTGTTGGTAACTCGAAAATACAATCTTTTTATCAGGTTCCTTGGAATTGGCAAGTGTTCTGCTATACCCTAAAACTTTGGGAGGAGGTGCAGTGTTTAGTGATGGCTTCCTTTCAATTCATCTCTGATGGAACAAATAAAACCAGAAGCAAAAATTGTACTTTTCAGAAGTTTATCATGATTAGCATTCGTTATCGTGCTTCAAACTCGAAAAAGCATGTCCATCCATTGCCGTGATACCATCATCGCCATCATCCTGGGCTTTGTCCCATTCATTTGATATATTTCAAATGAAATCTAATCTTCCGTTATGTCTAGTTTGTGGTCTCAATGTTAAATTTGGTTGACATGAACTGGTCGTTTGTTAGAATTTTCGCGTGATTCAACAATCTGATTACGTATGCATGAATACATGTGCAGACACCTATTTTGTGTGGTCTCATGGGAAAAGCCGACAACATGGTACATTGCTTGAAGCTGGAGAATCAGGTCCCCGTTTCGTCAAACTAGCTGGTGTAAGCTGCGAGTTGAAGGTAATAAATTAATAATATGCAAGCTACACAACACTCATTAAAAGCACGTATACTCCACGTTTATGCAACTCCTACATTTCACCCGTTCCTAAACTGCACTCTTATCCTGGTCTTGGCCATTCAGTAACCAATGAGGAGCTCAAGAAACCTGGAATCATGGATCAAAACTCATCTAAATAGTTCCTCTTGATGGTTTGACGGAATGCAGAGGTTTAATCCGATTAGTGTTGAATTGTTATAAACGTGCGAAATTCAAAACTCGCGGTTCATATTTGGCCATTGTGGCTTGTGTACCATTAGCTTTTCTCGAATTGGATTCGGCAGAAGTATAAGTTGCTCTTGTGTGAACCTTCTTTCACTTATCTTCCTATTATTCCCAATGGCCTTCGTGCAACGCTCATCAGGGTGCTCCCATTTGACGTATATAAATTTTTTTTATTGGAAATTTATAGATTTTTCAGATCCTACTCAAAATTTTAAAAGTGTACAACGTTGTCCTACACATTGTCCGTTTTTCGATTTAAAAAAGACAGTTGTATGTTTTCAATTTCCAAGTCAACAAGCTATAGCTCAAAATGCACGTTACTAGAAAATGGAACTCGCATCCGAAACATGACATCCTACTTGCAGTGCTATATTATTCAAACATCTATTCAATTTAAACTCCTTTTGACGCAGTCTAAATTGCATGGTATTTAAAATACTCAGGTCCTTGGCTTGTATTAACACTAGAAATCATACTAGAGATGTCAAGATGACAAATATTCTAAACTTAGCATATTTTGATGTATAATTAATGTTTTTATATAACAGCATGCGATTGATTTAGAATACGGTCACATTTATATTCTCATTGCCTATTTTCCTTTAACCTTGTAGATACGGCCAAAATCGCTATGCCACTATTACAATATTATCACACATTGTCACGTGTAACAAAGCGCAATCCATCTTATATAGTACTGCATATATTCATGTTGCATGATGGTTGTTAATGATGCGGCACCGCAGATAAGGCCAAAGCTTCGACTGAGAAAGTCTTACCAACCCTAAGTACAATTAATCATATCATACTAAGTTAGTCCCACCACATCACAACCGTCCAAGCAATCCAATTCAATATTCACTCATTCTGATGAGACTGCATGTACAGATACAGTCAGTAGTCCCGCGTCGCACATGAACACTTCCCCCGATCAGAACCTAACTTTCAAAAACTCATTACATCACCCCATCACCAACTCCAATGCCTCTCCTCTCTCTCCTCTCTCTCTCTCTCTCTGAATCTGGAATATAACCTCAGCAAACCCTTCTAAGGCCAGAGCTTCTATCTCTCTCTCTCTCTCTCTCTCTCTCTCTCTCATCTCTCTCTGTTTCTCTATTTAAAAACCTCACCATCTTCATCGCCAACTGTAAGTCTTTGCTTCACCAACAATCAAACCATGAAGAAGCTCTACCGAAAGGGAGCGGTTCATCCGTCACCGCCAATCATATCAGACCACCTGGCCTTTCTTCCCGCCACCATCCTCACCCTGGCGGCGGCTCTGTCACCCAAGGACAGAGAAGTCCTGGCTTACCTCATCTCCTGTTCTAACAGCTCCGTCAACTTATCCTCCTCCTCCTCCTCGTACGCTCCTCCACGTAATAGGACAACCGCCGCCGCCAAAAAGACGGCAGCAGCAAAGGGCGGCAGCGGGGGCGGTGTGGTTGCCGGGGATCACCCGGCTAGGTTTAACTGCAACTGCTTCAGGTGCTACACGAGTTACTGGGTCAGATGGGACGAGTCGCCAAATCGCCAACTCATCCACGAGATCATCGATGCTTTTGAAGATGAGCTGCTGACTGAGAGCAAAGGGTTTTCATCAAAGACTAGTAGGAAGGAGAGGAGGAACAAGAGTAGGGTTAATAATGGCTCGGGCGAGTTGAAGAGGTCCGAGTTGAGTGTGAAAAGGAAGGAGCTGGCTCAGTCTCACACGGCGGATCAAGAGGCCGGTGGCGGCGGCGGAGAGGTTGATGAGGAAGACTCGGAAAAAGGGTCAGTGAGAAGGTTTGTGAGCTTTCTTGGAGAGAGAATATGGGGTGTGTGGAGTCAATAATTATTAGGTTAAGTTCTTCTCCTTCGCTGAAGACGGTAATTGAGCTCTAATATGGCTTAATTTGAGGTGGGTTTAGCTAATTCCATCTTCTTCATCTTCACGTTCAAAGAAAAAACTACTTTCTTTTTTTTTTGGCTGCCTGTAAATTACCCTTTCATGTTTATGTAAAAAGAAAATGGGTAATTAAATTTTGACTTTTGGAGTCATGATCACAACTTAGTTTCAGTTTTTATCATTGCGGTCTAGCACTTAATTAACAAATTATGAATGTTAAAAATGTCTGCATACCGTGTGCTTTTGAATTAGATAGTATATATGGTTGGATCATTGATGCGGTATATGTTCAATGCTAATTTAGCACTGTGATAAGCCTACTTAGTAATATTTTCTTTGTTTTTTTAATCCTTAAGAAGAGGACATATTTTCTTGAGGAGAAAAAGCCAAAAATGGAATACCAGATACAAGGAATATGAAGGAAAAAAGAAAGAGAGAGCCTGGAAATACTTTTGTGATTAATTTTGTGTGGCATGTGGGGAATGGACGGCTCCTTTCCTTTGTTTGTCTTTTGACTGTTTAATTTCCTCCTAGGGTTTTGACTGCACAAGTGCAAATGTGGAATTAGAAAGCTGGTTTGTTTGTATTGCAAAAATGTCGAACAATCCATCGTTTGTGTCTTTTTTCATTTTGGTCGTAACTCCGTCGTTCTTTTCTAAGCAAGAATATTTGGCAAATTATTGCCAAATTCACAGTGTTAACTGGATGCATGGGTGTTTCCGTTCCTATTAAAAAATGTCATCAATCATATACTACTACATTTCACCTCAGCTTTTATATGTAACTATGCACGACTGTCTTGTAATATAACTATCACATGGAATCCGTGATAGGTTTATGAAGTAAGTAATGATACTTTAGGTACACTACTTTGTATTTATAAAATTAAGAGAAATGTTAATGAGATTTTCTCAAAGACTCTTTATAGACTATTTGTCACCTCACAGTTTAATGTTAATTTATGTATCAAAACTATAAATCATTGTGTCAAAAACATTAGGTAATAGAGAGTTCATTAAAAGTGTTACTATTTTAAATCTCCTTAGCATTTTAAGATGAGAATTTTAATAGCATGAGCTAAATCACACAATAAATTAACAAAATATAGTTCTAGTGACTTTGAGGAATTGAATAGAATAAAATATCGAGGCATTGAGATATGAAATTTCTTCTTGAGGGATGGAGAGGTATCGCTGCTGTCGCACTAGACAATGTTGGCATTCGGCAACACAAAAGTAAGAGATAAAGGATTCGTTCAAAGCAAAGGATCCAAAACCCAAAAGAATCCCCCCACTCACATAATTAAACTCTATTAACCCTCTTTTCGTTGCTCTCCAGGGCCATTGATTCTTTCCAAGGCTATTAAATTATGCATACCAATTATTTTCTTCTTATTTAGCCCCTTTCCTTTGTCGACCGAGTTATATTCAGGCCGCTGGTAAATTAATAATGTTAAGAATTTTCCTTGATCTTCATGCTCCGCTTACGAAAGAAAAGAGCAAGTGATGCTGAAAAATTAATCACAAATGAATACATGTTTCAATAATTGAAATTAAAAATTATCATTGTACACTTGTCTATTGTGATTGAATTTCAGCAATACTTGCTGCTTTTCTTTCGGCAGCAAAGCATGGTTCTACTTTATATGATGCATGCTCAAACTTTTCATCGTCTACTTTAAGATTACTATAGTAAACACCAAATTGATGTTTATTGTTTGATAATTACAAATAGAAAAAAAGAAAAAGAAAATTGGTGGTCTTTCTTTGTTTTTTGGGTTGAAAACTTGGTGGTGTTTCAATTGAGTTGAATTGCATTAATCCTTTTGAGGGATCGCTTAAGACAAAGGGAAACAAGGTAGGGGGAGAGTTGCAGATTACCAAACGAAAAGAAAGAGGTTATCCATCACTTTTGTGGATTAGTTTTGTTAATTCCTTTCCACTTAAAAATATAATATGGAGAAGCATTACCCCAAAAAATCTAGATATTAAAAAGCTTCGTTTACAAAAACTAGGCCAAGTGAAAAGACAGATCATGTTTTTGTTGGTAACTTGTGTAGAAATATTCCGAGTGAGGGTTTGGATTTTAACAACGTAATTAAACAAGAAAATCACTCACTTTTTTGAAGCGTAAACCCTAACCTTACGATTTAGTATACCAACACATGAAGACACTTGTAAGCATATACCACGTACGTACTGTATTTAGTGAGCACCAGATCTCTGACAACCCCTGGAAAAATGAGTTTAATAACCCTAATTAATACTTGTCTTTTATTCACCCTGTCTTCTACACTCACTAATAGACTGAATTTTTGGAGAGATTTTTTAGTGTAATCATTCGTAATTATTACATATAAATTATAATATAAGTGGAAGTTAATGCATAGTATACTATTAAATTATAAATACATATACATACTTTAATATCAATGAATTCATAGTCATACATAACAACACAACAGTCACAATCGAAAAATATCTTGAATTGGTTGGATATAAGATGCGTAGAACGGAGTATATAATTCATAATAATTCAGTTCATCAAAGTTGAAAATTTCAAAGGATTTTTTGGGTAATTTGATCATCAAAAGAAAGAGAATGAAGAACATGATATCCTACGAAATTTTGAACCCCTGCAATGGCCTCACCCAGTGCGACCTCTCTATCTCTCATTTTTTGTATGTACGAATAAGTTAATAACATGCTAAAATTAGGTGAAAAATGAAACCTCTGGAATGCGGACTCTGCATTGTGTTTGTTGGGCCAATAAATAGAGAACGAGAGGGGGACAATTGGCTCAGCTCTCAGTGCCTTCAGCAGAAATTCCCCGACAGTTTAGGTTATCATATGGTCAGCTTGCATGCATCTACGTATCACCACCGTACACGTGGCGGTGGAAAACCTAGGAAGTGCATGATTCCCGCGTTTCTAGACGGTCTTGATTGATTATTAAACCCACGCCCTTCATGTTCTCCATTAGGATGGCGACCAAAACTCAGTTAAGTCTCTGAACTGGCAAAGCATTAGTTGAGGATGCGGGTCAAGAAGCTGGTGTGAGTTTAGCACTCTTGAATCGAATGAATATTTGATTCAATCATAAACAAAAATATTAATCAAGATGCAGATTGCAAAGCAACAAACTCTGACATATGAGCGTTTTAGCGAGGAAATGATTACTCGTTAAATATGTTGATTTAGTCGCTATGCTGGTGTGAGTTTAGTACTCTTGAAAACATTGTTAAATCTCACTTGTCCACTTGTGTCTCACTTTATCACCCTACTACAAGTTAATTAAAAAATTCCACCAAAGTCGTCGATGTAGCACGTTTAAGTCAAACTGCTTGTTAAATATGTATTTGGTGAAGAAATTTCAAATGTATGGTTCATATTGCGCGCTGCACAATATTATTAATCTATATATTTTATAAAAGGATTTAAAATAATCTATAATAAGTAGATGACTTAGATGGTTGATATGCTATGCATAGAGCCTTTAAAGGAAATGATCCCCCTTTTTCTTTAAAATAAGATTAGTTGTGGGATTCACATCAAATCAAATTTTAACTATCTAAATTTTTAAATTTTCAAGTAGCACTTCATAGACTATCCTTGCAAAACCAAATCGGAAATATTTGAGACATTTAATTAAATTCAAAGAAATTTATGAACATTATATTCTAAGAAATATTAAAGTTCGTGCATAATAGGAGCCATGACAATTAAATGGACAAACGGTTTTCGTATTTAATTGAATTTTTGTAAAGATGATTTATTAAAAGTGACTTACAAAATAAACATAATTCAGATCGTTAAACTTCGATGTGAAATGAGTCTCACACTAATCCACATTTTTTCAACAAATAGAAATTACTTCCCTTAAAAGACATGAGTTTCGTGCATAATAGAAGCCATGCAACTGACCAGAGGGCCAACTTGGTGGTGACTGGAGGTGCATGTCGTCGTTCATAGCTTAGTTCTCGCGCGTTTCCTCTGCCCATTTCTTCTCTTTTTGCCTAATCCTTGTCTGTATCAGAACTGTGTTGTTTTTCGTTTGTAATTTCTTGGCAAATCCGCAGCCCTCATGATTTTGGAAAAATAGAGTAATGTTTGGTTTCGAGCATTGAATGGGTCAAGAGTCAAGGGTCAACATATTTTTACACTTTGATTATCATCATTAGTCCTCAAACAAAGACAACTTAGGCTCATCCACAAATATACGATCACTGATCACTTGTTTTCGTTTGTTGCAACTTTTCAAAATAAAGTAAATCACGCTGCGCGTGTGAATAGATATGTGATAGCAACTGATATCAAAAGCTACGCATTTGTAGCTTTCACGTACAAAGTTTTTATTAATATATATAGTTATGCATGCACTAGAACCATTTCGAAATGCTTTCTTTTTTTTTAAAGCACTTATGATAATATTATCGAAAGTTTTGATAAAATTGTAAGTGTTTTTAGATAGAAACCCTTGTTTTCTTTTGTTTAAGAGCTTGTTTGGAAGTATTTTTAAATTTATTGAAATTTAAAAAAAAATATTTTTGAGTTCCAGAAGCACTTAAACTTCAAAGTGTTTTTCAAAAGTTCACTTGCATTTTTACTTAAAATTGGTTCCAAAAACATTTTTACAAAAAAAGTTTTCTGTTATTTTAAAAACAGTTCCAAACAAATCCTAAATTTTTAATCCAAAAGCACTTTAAACTTTTTATGTCACATTAATCAAAACTTCTTTAATAACCTAAAAACGCTTTTAATTATTGTAAAAGCACTTCTAGCCCTTAACCAATATTACAAAAGCATATTCCTATTTTAGTGCAGCAGTATCCAACTCAAATGCTTTCGAAATAACAAAACAAAAAAGGAATATGCAGAATTAATACAAAGTTTGAGGTATGGTTTAAAACGAATATGCATCAATAATTTTCTTCTTAAAGAGAAATCTTGGATTAATTATCAACATGTCACATTTATATATAAATTTAGAATCCGCTTTACTTTCTTTGCGGAAGATACAAAGAACTTGGGAAGGAACTTATTGCTACGTATTTTTGCTTTCACGTAGTGAAAAAACCATTAGTTGTGAAGCTTATCCCTCTTCGTCTCACTTGTGTATGATAAAAAATACTACTTTTATCACATTTTTAATCATCAGATTTGTACCACTTTTCTAATAAATATGAAACTCACGTATGTTGGTGAACCCTACCTCTATTAGAGAGGTGATAAAAATATAGTATCAAGAATGTAGTAAGTGTAGCATTACTCGTATATAATTGCAA